CTATGGTGCCTGTCTTGGGGTCCCCTATGCTGCAACAGTGAAAGAACCACTGGTTCCCTTGACTTGGGCAAAAGTACTTTGGTTGTCTGGGCTTACATGGGCTAGTGTCACATTAAAAGCAATGATGGCAATGTCAAAAAGGGATTTTTTGTGCCTCTTAGCAGCACTATACTCTCTCTTGCCACTATAGTGAGCTGATCTGAGCTCTTGCCAAGGACCACATAATAGGAAGTTGAAATGAAAGTATGTTTTTTCCCCTGCTGCATACAAAACCACTGTGAGTAGCTGCCTGAGCAGCCCCCATCCATGGCAAGTTCTTCTTCATCAAGGACTTAGCCAAGGTCTTTCTCATGAGTTAGACTTCCCAATTCTTGCAGGTAGTGGCCTGAAGCTACTGCAGATGCTGGTACCAGTGCATGCCTTCCATTAATCAAGTCGGTACCATCCTTTCACCATCTGTTTCCGCTTCTTCATGCAGATATTGTAGAAAATACAGCTCAAACTTGAGTGCAACCCAGAGCAACTTCCAGTTCCCCTTCAGAAAGCCAAATAAAAATTTCAAGAAAATGTGGTGGCTGCTGAGGTGGTATTTGCAGTTTTTTGGCAAGAGGTGATGTTACCCTTGAAAGATTTCCTGTGCAAGGCTAACTGAAGATGGGCAGGGAAACCAAGCGCTTGTGGGGACACAGCAACTGTGTTGACATGCCTTGATCTTGCCCTAAGCTCAACCAGCCTGGTATCAGTCACACATTTGTCATCTGTGTATGCTGACCACCAAGTAATAGTGGGAGTAAAGCAGCCACAAGATCCACTTCTTCTTTCACCATAACAGATGTCCTTCATCTTAATAAGGAGCCACTTCAGGAGAGTTATGGGAAGAGGTGTCCACAGCACCACACAGTTAGGGAAACAGATGTGAAATTGCTAGGTGCTCCTGGAAATAGTCTGGAAGATTTCCGTATAGCCAGTGTGGCTTCCTAAATTATTCTGATGGACACTGTCTCCCTAAACCCGTGTTAACTGGCAGTGAAATGGTACAGTCAGCATCTACTAGCTTCCAAAATCACCATCATGTATTCTTGCTAATCTGGTAATGACTATCCTAGATTTGACTTTCATCACAACTTTAACTGACTGACAAGTCCAACATAATTACTCATCACATAGCCTAAGATTATTAATTTTGTGAGGTAACATATTTACCTTTTCCATTAAAATACAGCAAGAAACAGCAATGCTGATACATACCACACTACTACAGGGCAAGAAGAAAAATACTGTTTCCAGTTGCGTTTGTAATAGGTGTTAAGGCGAAGGTTTTAGAATGATGAATCTGGAAAGGACTTGCCTTAAGTTTTTTTACAGGTAGTTTCAGTAATTTACAGGTAATTTCCTGTAATCATTTTGAACTCCATTTCTTTAACGTGAAAGCCTCAGGCAGGATAGCTTTGACAGAGCTAGATTTCCTACGTGCTTACAGTTTGCTGTTTTACTATTACATGGCTGTGTTGATTTCACATGCCCAACATCTTCACAGTGTTCAGAGCTGGTAAGTTATGTTAACAGATCTTAACAAAGCAAGGACTTGCCTAAGACTTGCCTTGTCTGTTTTTAAGCATTCTGTTAACTTGGTCTAACTGAACTGAATCATAAAACATTGGAGAGGTACTTATGTTCTGGTGAAAAATCTAGACGTTGAAGGTAGTCAGCACGTATAGGACTCAGGACCAGAACTGAGGGAAAGAAATCGGGTTAGCTTTTCTTCTGTATGTAATTATATTTTTGATGCTTAAGTATGGGAGACTTCCTAATTTCGTACCTCACCTGAAATGTTTGAGAAACATTGATACAGATTTTAACCTGACCTTTCAAATTTCTAGTGTGATTCTCATTTTTACTAATCAAGAATTAAACAAAATTGAATATCAAAATAGGAAACATAGCTATCAAACTATATTTTACAAAGTGAATGTTGCTGTATTTTATGCATGATACTTGTTTTTACAACAAACGGGGAAGTTATTTTCATTTGCTTGCTTTTTGCAGAATTCCTTATATTCAACCTATAATATAAAATACTGTACAGCCTACAATAAAAGTTATGTTTTAAATCTATTTATCATCAAAAGGTAGTTCTTTCTACTCTTCCAGAATGTATGTATTCTGTATTTATAACGCTGACCTTGATCTATTTAATGAGGAGGGCAAAAACAGAGAGCAAAACAGGGTTAAACCACTTGCTTGATAGGATAAATCAAATCATTGCAGGAATTCAAGACCAGGACTGCATTTGCTTCCTGGCAGGAAGTCTGCAAATGATACACTGGCTGTATTTTTCTTATTTTGATGACAACATGCACTTCATTTTGCATTAAACCTCAGTCTTTTGTAAAAAAACACAGAGAACCTAGATCCCAATTTTTTTTTATCCTTGACCTCTTCTTTCCACAAATAAAACATTGTTGTGTCAAGCTCTGTAATCAGAAATCCAATGTTTGCTACGGACAAAGTTTGTGCATTGTGTGCTGAGAAATTTATGTTAAATGCATGTTAAACTCTAGATATGTGTTTACATTTATTTAATATCTTCTGTATTTTCAGGAAATTTTTTCAATATCCTCGTATTACATAAGGTTCCAGAGGTCATTGTGAAGGCTGTTAAAACATGTCCTGAAAATGCAAAGTTACAAGCTGCAGCTCTCAGTTGTTTAGCTCTTCTAAGTGAGTAAATCTCTTTCTAAATACATAAATAACTTCATTTATCTGCCCACTTGTTAATTTTTTTATACTGGTAATTTTCTGTAATCATTTTGAACTCCATTTCTTTAACGTGAAAGCCTCAGGCAGGATAGCTTTGACAGAGCTAGATTTCCTACGTGCTTACAGTTTGCTGTTTTACTATTACATGGCTGTGTTGATTTCACATGCCCAACATCTTCACAGTGTTCAGAGCTGGTAAGTTATGTTAACAGATCTTAACAAAGCAACCTGTTTA